GAGGCCAGGAGGAGCTGCCCCGTGCCTCAGTTTCCCCCATCCCGGGATGGTGAAGGGCAAAGGGAGCAAACGGAGGGGTCGTGGCCCGCTCGGGGTGCAGACGGAGCGGGGTCGATGCCGCTCTTTGACCCCCTGGCACCGTCCCGGCCGTGCCACGCTCGGTGCCCGCTCCAGGGGCGGCGGGGCGGACTCTGGACCCGGAGCGGGCGGTGCAGCCGAGATAAAGCCGGGAGGGTCAAAGGCGAGCGCAGAACGTTCTGGGCGCGGGCGGTGGGGCCATGCAGAGCCCCCCGAGAGCGGGGCAGAACCGGGGGGTCCCCGCCACCCCCTGTCCCAGCCAGGCGGGGGTCGCCGGCCCCGATCCCCCTGACCCTGCGCCCCCTCCCCGCAGCGGCCCCCGCCCTGACGGCCCCGCAGCCCCGGGGACAGAGGGGGCTCGGCCCGGCGCCCCCGGCCCCCTCCGGCCGCCGGCCATGGGCAGCCACGAGAAGGAGCCGTGCTCGCCGAGAAGGGCCCCGTCCCGCTCCAACAGCACCGTGTCCTCCAAGCACAGCAGCGCCCAGCAGGTCGGAACGGAGGGTTTGGGCTCGGGGGGCTCAGGATGGCCGAGGAGAGGGGTTTGGGGGGCTTTAGGGACACGGTGGGGAGCAGCGAGGCTGAGCCGGATCCCCGCAGGGCTCGGAGAGCTGGGAGGTGCTGGAGGAGCCGCGGGCGCGGGGCAGCCCCGGGCAGGAGCCGCGGCGACACGAGGGTTACCTGCTCAAGAAGAGGAAATGGCCCCTGAAGGGCTGGCACAAGGTAAAAGRCACGGCCGGGGGCAGCAGCCGCGATCCCGACCCCGTTTGGGGCGTGGGGGCTGCGGGGGCTGCTCTCTGCTCCCCCCAAAATAAACCTTCCCCCTCCTCCCTCCATCCATCCCAGCGGTACTTCGTGCTGGAAAACGGGATCCTGAAATATTCCACCACGCGCCAGGACGTGAGTGAGAGCCCGGGCTGCGGCCCAGAA